AAGAGAGAGAGAGAGAGAGAGAGACAAACAGTGACAGGGGAAAAGAAGGAGTCAGACAGAGAGACGGCAGCAAAGAAAAATCGATCTGTGCTCTCTCGGTGGTCCCAACCGGCTTGGCTCCCGGGGGTTACGTCACTGCTAACAGATATTATACATAACATGCATGTTATATTTACGTCCGCGCGGTCAATGTCAGGTCACGGGCGTGCGTTGTGGTCGTAAGTCCCAGGCCACCCCACACCCAGCCACTCCGTTACATAACGTCACACCTCTAGGTGGACAGTCTTACCACAGTTTGGTCAACATTGTCCTACCTACCTACCTATACCCACCCCCAAGAGGCCAGACGAGGCGGCGAGCGGGTATCGCTACCCCGTAAGATTCCCTAACACTTACATGCCATAATATTTGTTTTGCTCATTTGAGTGAACAGAAACACGCTTTAAATTTTAGTTTTAGTAAGAACTTTACGGCACTTGCAACACCCTAAGGTCATACAAGTGAGTAAAGAGTTCCTCATCCACAAAATTACGGTCATTTTGGTGCAGCAAGGAAAAGGTAAGACACAGAGACAAAAAAACAACAAAGAGAAACAAAAAGAAGACCTTCCAGTAACTGTCTAGAAAACCCCGCGGCTTATGTTATGAAAGCACGGGTTTATAAAATATGTTATATCACACGCTCAGCATTATCTATAGCCTGAGTGTTCAGCACCTCCAAAAAACACTTCACAATTTTCCCCTCGCTCCTCGCTCGTGTAGCTCATCAATTGGTTTTTTTTGTGGGTTTGTGTGGGTGTATTTATTGACTGGAATGCTTTACGCCCCCCCCCCCCCCAAATCAAAGCAATTTCCATCATTTTCTGTGCGAGTTTCTTCGACCCACTTTGTCAGGGCCATGTCGCGGCGAGTCAGATACAGCATCATGGCACACACTGGTGTTATCTAACTCTCGATTCTTCCTCGCGCCGCCCTCAGGAAGACACGACGTAGATCTAGATGGATATTGACAAACAAATTGTCGTCAACAAAGCAGGACGGTGTCAACAGAGACAAGGACAGACAAATCAGAATGAAAGATAAAGATCGACGGTACGTTTATTATCAAGGGTGTAAAGGTCAGAGTAGCATTCAACAGTTCAATGTGTACTTGACATCTTCACTGGTCGCTTTGAAGGGCAAGCGGGCTAGCCCAGATTTCAGGCGTTTCCAGAAATCTTGACCTACACCAAATGCTGGCATTGTCCTACCTACAGGAGACGTTTTGTTTCATTGTTGTGTATATTTGTTTGATTATAATAGAAAAACTCTCATTGTCTTTAAAAGACATTGAACAAGGGGCAAAAATTTTACCTTCGATTTTCTTAAAAACAGCATTTTTCGGAATAGCCCCCTTGTGCTTAAAAGAGACCAACAGACTGACTTAACATTTTTCTTTCTTGTGGTCCACTACCTTCGCTGACCGAACTATGCGCAAGGGGAAGTTACGTAGCCTGGCCAGGTAACGAGCTGACTGTGATGTGACGTGCCAAATTGGCGCTTTGTTGGTGGTCAAGTTCACGGCTTCTGGCCGCTCTCGTAAGGTCTTTGTGCTGGTGTTTGTTTGTGGGAACATTGCTCCCCCCCCCCTCTCTCTCTCTCTCTCTCTCTCTCTCTCTCTCTCTCTCTCTCTCTCTCTCTCTCTCTCTCTCTCTCTCTCTCTCTCTCTCTCTCTCTCTCTTTTTTGGTCTGTATACTGTATAATCTCTCTCGGCGTTGTGTATGGGCGTGTTTGCCAATATTCTCTTATTGCTCAAGTTCACCGCTTCACTGGTTTCGTAACAAAAGATTTCAATTTGTCATGGGGTGGATGTTTTGTTTGTGTTTATGCGTGTGTATGTTATGTGTTGGCGTGTGTGTACAGTGTGGATTTCCATGCGTGTTTGTGTGGATCTGTGTGAGAGTGTGTGCGTGTGAATACATGCCTGTGTGTGTGAATATAGGCGCTTGTTGGTTCTAGCGTGTTGGTTCTAAGGCTGTTGTGTATTGTTATGACCCTCTTGTGATTTGGAAAACGAAAAAAACAAAAAAAACATAGGCGAGCGACACGATATTGTACGTGAAATGAAAAGGTTGTTGTTCATTTATTAAGTTTTAGTCTAACTTTCTGAGCACTGTTAAAGTGACCTTTGCCTTAGAATTTTCACAACAGTGACCTTGAGGGGTATGGCGAGAGTTAGAGAGTTTGACGTGAATGACACGAGAAATTTTATCAAGAATCAAGGCCAAGAGCGGGAACAATAAATTGTAGGCCTGCCACCATTCACGAAAGCGTGGGAGAAAAAGGCAATAGATATGAGTATGGCGCTCTACTCAGGAGAAAGACAATAGTGGTCACGATAACATTATGTAATCAACACCAAATTGTTTCCTTACGACTTTTGAGAGGGGGTGGGGGTGGAGGTGTTTTGTTTTGTTTTCGGATTACGTTTCACACAAAGTAAAGGGGAACCGGGTGACACCTAATCCCACCTGAACCGCGCGAGATTTGCGATCAAACCAGACAAAGGACTGACTATCCGTTGCGATCAAACCAGACAAAGGGCAGTCAAATGCGATCAAAGAGGAAACTCCAATGTTCCCATTTACAGCGAAACCGCGTTTTATTTGGACTCGGTGGATTCGGGTACGGTAATCGTACGTTGAATTCCTCCCTCGGGTTTTCTATTATAAAGTTTCAAGTCATTATAATTTTCTTCAATTCTGTTCTCCTTTTGTCTTTTTTTTCCTTTCTTATTTCCCGTTTTTAATTTTTTAAAAAATAAAATAACAGAAACGCTGTGAGTTGCATGTTGGTATAATTTAGCGACAGCAACACTGCCGTAGGAGAGAGACAACAGAGGGAGAGAGACAACTGTAGGAGAGAGACAACTGTAGGAGAGAGACAACTGTAGGAGAGAGACAACTGTAGGAGAGAGACAAGTGTAGGAGAGAGACAACTGTAGGAGAGACAACAGTAGGAGAGACAACTGTAGGACAGAGACAACTGTAGGAGAGAGACAGCTGAGGACAGAGACAACTGTAGGAGAGAGAAAAATGTAGACAACTGTAGGAGACATTGTCGGGAAGGCCTTCGTGTCGGGAAATATCCAGCTTAACATGACGTGACCAACAAGACATTGACTGCCGTCATAGCCAGGGCACTCACCCCCAGATTAGGAGAAAAAGAGGAGAAAAAAAACGCAGGAGGGGGAAAAAAGATGAAAGGAAGGAAAAAAAACTTCGCGAAATATTACTACCGCTGCGTGATTCGGCCTAATTGTATCACAATTCGAATAAAAGCACCTACTAACTTTTAAAAAGATCATAAATCTACTTCCCGACAGATGCAAAGTTCAAACTCATGTAAAACGGTTAAAAGGAACAAGAAAAGTGCTACAGAATACCTGAACACACAAGACGGATGTTCTTTTCCCCTCAGAGTGTCAAACTTCCGAGGCTTTGATAATTATCAAACAAACGATATAAATGTTGAACACACTTACTTGTAACATATGTGATATAAAACCTCCTTTTGTCCAACAGAGTTGCTCAATCTTCTGATGCTGGGGTAAATTAGGCCTACTGGAGACTGGTCGTTCTGATACGGGGAAGAAACTACTGTTCCCTAATAGAAGTCACAATGATAGACCTCGATGGTATTGATAGACGTCTAGATCTAGATATCTAACTTTAACGTGAACTTTGGAGGCAAAAATCAGGCGTTGTCGTTCTATCTCCCTGTGCCCAAATATGAGCCAGCTTCTCGGGGGTTCTGCTTTATATATAGCCCCGGCCGGTGACGCCGTGGACAATCTTTGGTGACGTGGTAACGCTTGTCTTTATCAATTGCCTTGTCCCTTGTCCTAAGGCAAAACCCAGGTGAAAGTGGTCACGAGATATACGGGGTTACGTGGAAAAAAGGGGGGGGGGTTTATTGTGTGGTCGCGATATTACGTGATGACGTGGTGGAGGGTTATTGTGTGCTTGGCACATTACGTCATGTGACGTAACGTGTTTCTTTGCTCCATTAAGGGGGATTGTATAATCTACACGGTTGGGTGAAATAACCACAAGCCGGAAATGTCCATGCCTGAATTCTGTTGACCAACATGTGTGAAAGTTTTCTAATGTCGTAATGGCTGCAGGTGAAGGAAGAAAGGGTGCGGGGGTCTGTCTGTCCGCGTGAATTCGAATTCATCGCTGGGGGCAGGGGGAATGGGGTGAACATTGTTTACTAGACAAAGGGGAGTGGGAAGAGAGAGAGAGAGAGAGAGAGAGAGAGAGAGAGAGAGAGAGAGAGAGAGAGAGAGAGAGAGAGAT